TCTTCATTAGTTAAAGGTACTATAATTTCTGCTGGATCTTTTCCAGTCAGCTGGCGAAAGTCTTAGTTTGTCCTTTAAATGAAATCAGAAATCTTTTCTATATACGTCTTTAACTTTTTATTCTGCTTATGCTAATGGCTGCAGGGAATGTGTACAAATAGGGCCATGCAGTTTTGGAAGAGTTGCCTTAGTCACTGTTCTATTGCTGTGAATAGACACCATGACCAAGGCAACTCGGGGACTTGGTTACAGTTTCAGAGGCTTAGTCCATTATCATCGTGGCAGGGAGCATGGTAGCCTGCAGGCACACATGGCTCTGGAGCTAAGAAATTTACATTTTGATCCACACATAGGCAGAGAGAATAAGCCTGGGTCTGGGGTGGGCTTTTGAAATCTCAAAGTCCATCCCTAGTGACACACTTCCTCCAACAAAGTCACACTTCCTAATCTTTCTAATCCTTTCAAACAGTTCCACTCCCAGATGACTAAGCATTCATATATGAGTCTATGGTGGCCATTCTTATTCAAGCCACCACAGTAGTTATTCTTTCATATTTTTCCGGGTATTCAAACATTATGTACTCTTATAACCACGGGATTACAGTAATACACTGTATTGCAAATATACTGTATAACTTTTAAAAAATTGACAGGAGGTATTAAACATCTGCCCGTGTGTGTGTGTGTGTGTGTGTGTGTGTGTGTGTGTGTGTGTGTACTTCATATTTTGAGGCATGATGGATACAACCATTATCCTAATCTTGGTCTTGCATACCCATGTTAAAGCTCAAATTGAACCCTGTAAATGTGTGTGGTTTGCTGTACATTAGTTATGCCTTAATAAAACAGGAATATTCACCTGTGGCAGATCCCTCATGATAAAGGGTATCTGGTTAGACCCTTCCCATTTTAGATACTGAAGTCTCCATTAAAAGATTCTTATCTCTCATTAGTCATTTTTGTTTTGCAGAGTCCCTGCATCTACCTGTTTATTTTCACTTGTAAAGCAGTCATCATCCCCACCATGCTGTGATAAAATATCCTGACCAAAAGAAACCTAGGGAAGAAAGGAGTTTTTTCCCCCTAAAACATATAATTTCAGGGTACAGCCTATCATGGGAAAGTCAAGGCAGCTAGTCAAATAGTCATACCACATACCTTCTGCCTCCCCTCCCCCCCAAACCAGTGGGTTTTTCTCAGGGTCCACCTTAGAACTTACATTGAAAATCCCACTGTGAGTTTTTTGTTCCAGATTTGATTTTTTTTTCTTCCTTTTTTTGGTTTGAGACAGAGTCTCACTATGTAGCTCTGGCTGTCCTGGAACTATGTAAACCAGGCTGGCCTCAAAGTCAGAGATCCACCTGCCTCTGCTTCATGAGCCCTGGAATCAAAGGAGTGTGCCACCACGCCCAGCTTCCTGTTTGAAATATTTTGAGTTCCCTCCCAAGAAAGAAAAACCAGGAACCCAAGGAGTAGACTGAAGAGAACTGACTTTCAGACTGTGGACTTGGATACTCCTGGGGGTTTGTAGAGAAAGGTTACAATTTGTACATCTGGCATGCTGTCCCAGGGAACCAAGGCTCCCACTAACTTAAACAGTTTTTGAATTGACATGGCATTAAAATAAATTTGTAAAAAAAATAATGTAAATATAATAATGTAAAAAAAGGAATATTATTTTAAAATCTCTTTTACCCTTTTCCCACTTTAACTTTGTAAGCTCCATGCATGCTGCTATACTACAGCTCATCTACGGGGCTCTGGGGGGGTTGTTTGTTTGTTTTTACTACTATGCAGAATTTCAAGGCACATGTTTTAGTTTCATTTCTGTTGCTGTGATAAAATATCCTGATCAAAAGAAACCTAGGGAAGAAAGGAGTTTTTTCCCCCTACATATAATTTCAGGGTACAGCCTATCATGGGAAAGTCAAGGCAGCTAGTCAAATAGTCATACCACATCCAGTCAATGGCAAAAAGAAATCAGCACATTTAATGCCTATGTACTTGCTTGTGCTTGGCTAGATTTCCCCACAGTTCAGGACCTTCTTCCTAGGGAATGGTGCCACTCATAGTAGGCTGGGTCTTCCTACATCAAGTAGGCAAGACAATACCCACAGATATGCCCAATGTACACAATCCCTCATTAAGACTCTTCTTCCCAGGGGATTCTAAGCTGTGTCAAATTGACAATTAAAGCAACAACATACATCTACAATATTTTGTTTACTCAATCCCTAGGGCTTCTTTTGCTCCAAATCCCCTACCTATCTCCAACACTATAACAAATAATCTCCTTTTATTTTTACAGATCTGAGTAAACTTTCTCAGAGACCACCCCAGCAGTGAAAACGCTGCACTATGGGCCATGTGCATATCTGAGTTTTTACCAAGAATTGGCTCTTCTACTACAGAGGGCCAAACCGGTTGACAGTTCCCACTATGTGGCTGGAGAGTTAGTTCTCTATATTTGGATTTCAGGCCTTCATACTGCAACTAAGAGATGGACCTTGGTTTCTAGTAAGTCCCACCCATTCCAATTTGGCACTGGCCTTATGATCACTGACAAACAATTCTTCAGGCTGTGGCCATTCCCTGGTGATTTAACAAATGGATTTTCATTTTTATTTTTACTTGTTTTCTAAATTATATTTCTGGGGAAAGGTGCAAGTTAGAGATGGGAGTTCTTTGTTCTGTCTTCCCTGGGCACTCTTTGGAGCCCACAAAGGTCCCACGTCCATGAAAGAACTGGTCCTTGGTGCTTGGGCCAGTGTCCTAAACAGCAAGGAATGCAGTGACTCAGCTAGTTACTCAGGGACACTTTAGTGAACAAGGCCACGGAAGGAAATCATTACAGACAGCTGGACTGTAAAAAGCAAAAATACTCCACACACCAAACTCTACAAGCCAGTAGAAGCCGAGCGAGCGTTCTATGATTCAACAGGCCTGTTTCTGCCACGTGGCTCATGCTCATGATACGTGGCACATAGCCCTGGTTTGCTGCTGGCTGCTGCTCTGAGCTCTGCTAGGAAGCCACAGAGCGGGATCTCAGGAAGGCTGTGAGTGCATTTTTCTCCCCACTCTGACTCCCAACTCTCCCCACCTGTCTGCTGTTCTTTTACCCTCTTAGCATAGCCCTCAAAATCAATAATAACAATAGGCTGGAATTTATCATTTCACACACGCTGGCAACTTGGCAGGGACACAAGGTCAAACAACCGGCATCCTCTCAAGGCCCTGAGGCAGGCAGACACCTGACAAGTCTTGCTCCCTGGGGTAGGTTCCAGTGTCCTGGGTAAAGAAGCCAGTGGCAAATACAAGGGGAACTGAGTCTGGGATGGAGGCAGGACAATTGAAGGTGTGATTCCAGGTTCACTGATTTTTACTGGAGGCCTAGTGTGTGCCAGACCCTGATCTTAAGATAGATTAGTGAAGACAGACCAAACATCTTGTCCTCCCAGGGGCCATGTTCCTGTGGAGGGAGACAAACACCAGCTATCATCAAGAAGTTACAATAGCATGTGGAGGAGTGATCCGCGTGTGTGCAGGCATGCATACTCACCGGGATGAGTTCCGTGTTGGTGTGCTCACTTGTTTGCATATGTAGAAGCCATCGTCTTCCTCCATTGCTCTTCATTTTACTTTTTGGAGACAGTGTCTCTACTGAACCTAGAGCTAGATATTTAAGCTATATTGATTGGCCAGAGAGCCCCTGGGATTCTCCCGTGTCTATACCCACTACTGCTGTCCCTGTATCCCTTCCCCCAACACACAGCTGCTCTGTAACCAGAGCTATAGACACATACTGCTTCTACATCCAGCTTTCACACGAGGGTCGGGGCAAAACAAGCACATGACCTACTAAGCCATCTCCCCAGACCCATGGAAGAGATTCTGGATGCTGGGAAAGAACAGAGAAGGGATATAATTTGGGAGAGGCAGAGGAGGCTCTACTGAGGTGACCTTCGAGTAGTTGTGATATTGGTGAGAAAGCCCCGTGAGTACCAACAGAAAGTTCACTCTCTTGATGGAGGAAGCACCAGTGCCATGAGCTGGGAGTCATGTGGCAGAAACAGCCTGTGAAGTCACGGATGTTCAGCTCTTCTGCCTTGTAGAGTTTGGTGTGTGGAGACTTTTTGTGTTGGGAGGTTGGTGAGTCTTGAAGGATTTTTTAAAATTTCATTTATTTATTATTTATGTGTATTTGTGTGAGCTTGTGTGACTATATGTGCTCCACATATATGCAGTGCCCACAGAGGCCAGATGAGGGCGTGTGATCTTCTGAATCTGGAGTTACTTCTGCCATATGGGTGCTGGGTGCTGGGAACTGAACCCAGGTCCTCTGGAAGAGCAGTAAACATTCTTAATGGCTGAGCCATCTCTCCAGTCTGTGAAGAATCTTTTTTTTTTTTAATACATAGTCTCAGGCCAGGCATGGTGGCACACATCTTTAATCCTAGCACTGTGGGAGCACAGGCAGGTGGGTCTCTGTGAGTTCAAGGTCAGCTTGATCTACAAAGCTCCTGACCCTGTCTCAAAAAAAAAAAAAAAAAAAAAAAAAAACCCCA